GCTTCAGGTATTACCAGAGAAACGGAGCCTGAAACTCTTGAAGAGCCACAATCTCAATGTGAATTGGTACATGTACTGCCCCGAGAGTGCTGTAATCTTGCTGTCTACGACAGTCCTGGAGAATGTCCTACAGCCTTTTCACTTCAGGGTAAGAAGAAGCCTCTCCTGAAAACACCACCTTTCCCCTCTTGTTCCCCGTTCCTATAGCATTCTAATGTGTCAAGCAGTTTAGGGACAGTTTCCTCCAACTGTAATGTCATGACTCTGACCACTAGAGGGTAGTCTGTGCACCCTTCAGCTCCTGGAGCCATTCTATGCTATGCAGGCAGAGGCTGTGAGAGGCCTCAGGGGATGGTGCAAAGGATGAAGTCTGTGTTTATCTTTGTTGGTTTTACATAGGGAATGTTTAAACAAGGGGTTTAATAAGTTTTTCCTAAAACTTTTTTCCCCCTAAACAGGCTGGCACTATGTCAAAGCTGCCCAAATTTGAGATTGAATTACCAGCTGCACCCAAGTCAACGAAACCCAGCCTTTCTGAAAGGGACATTGCAATGGCCACCATGTACGTCCGTGTCAGAGAGAATTCCGTCCTGTGATTGCTTTCAGTAATATAAATAATAGAAGAAGTATGTTAGAAGCCTCACGGTGATTCCCTGACCCGTAGAACACATAAGGAGGACTCCCCTTATCCTGGGTATTCAGTATCTAGATTCTGTGAACATAGCCTGCAGTCTTTTTGGCATTCTTTTTGGTTTGATCAGTGTGTGATGCTAAGGAATTCCTTTACTTTTCTAGCCTGATAAGAACACCAACCAATTTATTTCTTAGTATCTTTTAGAATTTATTTTTTTCTTTTGAGACTGAGTTTTCACTCTGTCACGCAGGCTGGGGTGCAGTGGCGCAGTCTCGGCTCACTGCAGCCTCTGCCTCCTAGGCTCAAGTGATTCTCCTGCTTCAGCCTTCCAAGTAGCTGGGACTATAGGCGTGTACCACTTTGTCTGGCTAATCTTTGTGTTTTTGGTAGAGACAAGGTTTCGCCATGTTGGGCAGGCTGGTCTCGAACTTCTGACCTCAGGTGGTCCACCTGCCTTGGCCTCCCAGATTATAGGCATGAGCCACTGTGCCTGGCCAGGTTTTTTTAAAGCTAAGTTAAATCATAATTGTTCTAAATAAGAAAATAAGATATTTATGTAACAAACATGGAACTGCATTATTTATATATGGAGGTATATTTTTATTTGCAAAAGTGGATATCTCAGTTTTTAAACTTTGTAATGAAAATTTTAAGCACCCAACAGATACTAATAAAAAGAACTCCCATATGCCTGCATCTCCGATTTGACAATAGTCAAAATTTTGCTTCTAATTTACTTGTGATTCTTCTGTGTCCTAAAACAGTGGTTTCCAAACTTTCAAACTTTTTAGTAGTTAGTATAATACTCTTTTCTTTATTTCTTCTTTTTTGTTTAAAGTTACTCTTCTGTGGCATCCCTGTTATTTTTAAAATTTTTTTTTGGAAAGTCTTGCTGTCACCCAGGCTGGAGTACAGTGTCATGATCTCAGATCACTGCATCCTCTGCCTCCCAGGTTCAAGCAATTCTCCTGCCTCAGCCTCCCGAGTAGCTGGGACTACCGGCGCATGCCACCATATCTGCATAATTTTTGTATTTTCTGAAGAGATGGGGTTTTGCCATGTTGCCCAGGCTGGTCTTGAACTCCTAGGCTCAGGTGATCCTCTCACCTCGGCCTCCCAAAGTGCTGGGTTTATAGGCGTGAGTCACCGTGCCCAGCTAGCATTCCTGTTTAGATGGCAGATAAAGTGAGAGCAGTCCTGGCTGAAGTGGAGATGGGGTCCTGTTCCCTCCCATCTTGGTCTCCTCTTCGTCCCTGGGCAGGCCAGCACAGAGTTTACCACTGGACTAGAATATGCATTTAGGAGCTATTCACAGCAACATTTATCAGATGGCACTTCATAAAAATAAGTAGCAAAGGCTGAGCATGGTGGCACACACCTGTAATAACCAGTGACTGGGGAGGCCAAGGCAGGAGGATCGCCTTGAGGCCAGGAGTTCAAGATCAGCCTCGGCAACATAGTGAGACCCCATTTCTACAAAAAAAAATTTAAAAATTAGGCAGGCGTGGTGGCGCGTGCATGTAGTCCTAGCTACTGGCGAGGCTGAGGTGAGGGAGGATCGCCTAAGCCTAGCAGTAGGAGGTTGTGGTGAGCTATGGTTGCACCACTGCATTCCAGCCTGGGTAACAGAGGGAGACCCTGTCTCTAAAAAAATGAAAAAAAAAAATAGTGATTATATTTTCTTGTTATTAAGGAATATACATTCATTATACAAAGCTTTGAAAATAGGAGAAGGAAATAAACTTGGCATATCACTCAAGGATAACTATTAACGTGTCTTTCCAATCATTTTAGACTCTTATGCTTAGGTTTGGGGTTTTCTTTTAAAAGATTATGATCAAGCTATATGTAGTGTGTGTTCTCTTTTCTATTAAACTTTATAATAGGCTTTGAGTAACTGCACTTTCTTTGTAAACATTTTTATTGGCAGCAAAATATTCTATTAAGTGAATATCTCATAATTCACTTAACTGTGATGCCAGTTAGAAGAAAGGAATTTTGAATGGCCAGATGTGTTTTATGTCTCTTTGTTCTCTAATTAGATACGGGCAGCTGTATGTTCTCTTCTTGAGACATCATTCTCGGACCTCCAACAGCACAGGAGCGGAGGTGGTCCTCTATCATCTACCACGGTAGAGTTCATGCTTTGTTTCCCCTCTCTCTGTGACTTTAAAATGTGAACTGCAGCTTGTTGATCTGCTTTTTTTCTTTCTTTCATCCTACAGAGAAGGTGCCTGTAAAAAGATGCACATATTGAAGTTAAATAGGACGGGAAAGTTTGCCCTGAACGTGGTAGACAACCTGGTAGTCGTGCATCATCAGGATACAGAGGTACAAGCTGTCTGCATTTCTACCAAAGTTAAGGTTGCTTAAAGGCCTTGTGACAAATTGGCGGCTGGGCATGGTGGATCACGCCTATAATCCCAGCACTTTGGGAGGCCAAGGCGGGCAGATTTCTTGAGCCCAGGAGTTCGAGACCAGCCTGGGCAACATGGCAAAACCCCACCTATATAAAAAATACAAAAATTAGGCTGGGCGAGGTGGCTCACTCCTGTAATCCCAGCACTTTTGGAGGCCGAGGTGGGTGGATCACGAGGTCAGGAGTTCAAGACCAGCCTGGCCAACACAGTGAGACCCTGTCTCTACTAAAAATACAAAAATTAGCCAGATGTGGTGACACGCACCTGTAGTCCCAGCTACTTGGAAGGCTGAGACAAGAGAATTGCCTGAACCCAGGAGGCAGATGTTGCAGTGAGCTGAGATCACACCATTACACTCCAGCCTGGGTAATAGAGTGGGACTGCATCTCAAAAACAAAACAAAAATTTGCCGGGTATGGTAGTGCATGCCTGTAGTCCCAGCTACTTGGTGGGCTAAGGCTGGAGGATTGCTTGAGCCCAGGAGGTCAGGCTTCAATGAGCCGAGCTCGTGCTACTGCACTCCAGCCTGTGTGATAAAGCAAGACCCTGTCTCCAAAGAAAAAAAAAATTGGCACAATGTTCTGAATAAGACTAGAAAGTGCATTTATATGCTAAAAGTTTTGGTCTTTCAGATGGAAATGGGTTTGGTTGTCTAAGTAGTTTAGAAAAAAGTGATTCTGTCAGTAGATTAAACATAATTGAAGACTATTTCAGAAAGTAATGGTTGAGGGGAATTGACCTTTGGAAGAAGATGGGAATCCGTTCTGTCCCATGAGTACATGAATTCTCTCTTCGATTGTGAGCATGGATGGCAGTGCTGGGGGATAACGGTTTTGAGGCCGTGTGGACCAGGACAACTAGAGTGGGTCCTGTGGCTGGGATTCTGGTATAAAGAAGCCATTTCCCTCCTCGACCCTCCGAGGGTGGTGACACTCTCTGACATGTGAAGATGTCTCCAGTTGAAGTGACAGAGATCTGCTTAGGTCACTCTGCGTGAGCTTGTCAAAGGAGGCATGTCATAAATGCAGGAAATACTTGTGAGAGGAGAGAAAAATATTAAAAGAGAGTTGTGACATTAATGACAAATTCCTCCTCAAGTAAGAACTAGCCTGTAGGGAGGAAATGCAAACACAGGCTTTTAAACGGATCCAAACAGCAAGATGGGATGGAATGAAAGGGACTGGGCAAACCATGATTCATTTTAGCCTCAGTCTTGTCTTTCTCCTCCTTAGACATCAGTCATATTTGACATCAAGTTACGGGGAGAGTTTGACGGCTCTGTTACCTTCCACCACCCGGTGCTTCCCGCTCGATCAATCCAGCCCTATCAGATCCCCATCGCAGGTAAAACGGGTTCTGTAGAGGAGTCTGTGCTGCTGTTTGACCACGTGGCTGGGTTCACCATGATCTTTGGCAGTCAGGTTAAAAGTGGAATGAGGAGTCTAAACAGAGATGATGAGATCTGTTTGACTTTGCCAGGGGCCATTTGTTCCAGTTTTGTTGTTGTTTTTGAGATGGAGTCTCACTCTGTCACCCAGGCTGGTGTGCAGGTCTGATCTTGGCTCACTACAACCTCTGCCTCCCAAAAGGTTCAAGATTGTGAGGTATTCACTTGGTTCAACCGCTTGAATACTTGGGAGAAGAGATAAGGTTCAAGTGAGTCTCCTGCCTCAGCCTTCCAGGTAGCTGGGATTACAGCTGTGTGCTACCATGCCCAGCTAATTTTTTTGTATTTTTAGTAGATATAGGGTTTCACCATGTTGGCCAGGCTGGTCTTGAACTCCTGGCCTCAAGTGATCTGGCCTTGGCCTCCCAAAAGGCTGGGATTACAGTCATGAGCCACCACACCTAGTCCCAATTTTTGTATTTTTAGTAGAGATGGGGTTATGCCATGTTGGCCAGACTGGTCTTGAATTCCTGACCTCAGGTGATCCGCCTGCCTCGGTCTCCCAAAGTGCTACGATTACAGATGTGAGCCACCATGCCCAGACTGTTCTAGTTTTTTTTTTTTTTTTTTTTGGAGATGGAGTCTTGCTCTGTCACCAGGCTGGAGAGCAGTAGCATAATCTTGGGTCACTGCAACCTCTACCTCCTGGGTTCAAGCAATTCTTCGCCTCAGCCTCCCAAGTAGATGGTACCACAGGCACGTGCCACCACACCGGCTGATTTTTGTATCTTTAATAGAGACAGGGTTTCACCATGTTGGCCAGGATGGTCTCGATCTCTTGACCTCATGATCCGCCCACTTCGGCCTTCCAAAGTGCTGGGATTACACGCATGAGCCACTGTGCCTGGCCTTTTTTTTTTTTTTTTAATGCAGCTACGACTGATCCAATGATCCTATAAGCTAAAATTTTGTTGTGAAAAAAGCATTTTCTAAGATAGATGAATGTTCATTGGGAGGAAATAGAATAATTTATCTTCCCTGAGCTTTAGAATGGATAGTTGTGATTACCCATTGATGGTAAGAGATGTTTTAATATTGAATACACCTATAACATTTTCTATTTGCCTAAGCTCTGTAACCCTGAAATTAACTTTGGCTGTGTGCTTGTTACTTGAACCTGGGATCACTTTTCTCTTTCTCACATTGCGATAAAGAGATGACAGTGTGATAGTGATATGAATATTGCATTCTTTGGGACTGACAGTCACAATAAGTGTTTAGGCTGACCCAAATCAGTCCTCCTCCTGCCTGGAGAGGTGGGGGTAGAAAGTCAGAAGAAGGGAGGTCAGGAATTCAGGAAAAGGGAAAGAAGTCATTTATTTGCTTTGTTATGCTTTTTCCCAGCGTAATCAATTTTAAGATAGAACTGAAACAATGTTCAACACACGCTTTCTCTCTCTCTCCCCTTTTTTTTTTCCCCCTTAAACAGACTTTATTTTCTCACAGTTCTGGAGGCTAGAAGTTCAAGATCAAGATGTCTGTGGGTTTGCTTTCTTCTGAGGCCTTTGTCCTTGCAGGTGGCCACCTTCTCACTGTGTCCTCACAGGGTCTTTCTTCTGTGCCTGTCCCTCCCAGGAGTGTCTCTCAGCTCGCTTTTGAAGGAGATTGGATTGCAGAGTTGGCTATTTGGAGGTTTCAGAGTGCAGGCCCTAGTCAGGTGGCTCACATTTGGAACCCTGGTACCAATGTGTTGTTCTTTGTCAGTTAGCACTGGGCGGGTTGACCCAGCCTGCAGTCAGGATTTCCTTGTACCTTTCACTCAGGAGATTCAGAATCGGGCTCCGGCTGAAGGTTTAGCAAGAGCACCATCATCAGCCTGCCTGCCCTGTCCTGCTGGATCAGCCAAAAGCTTAGTAACTAACTTTCTGGGACAGTTGGAGGAAGGAGCTGGTTCTTATAGATGTTTGATTAGGTCTTTTGGCCTTCTGTGTTCTTTTGAGCTGCTTCCTTTTCCTTTGTAAATAATGTTAGCATTGAAAGAATAGATTGTACCAAGGGATTGTCTTGTGTCTGCTGCCCACTTGCTGAAGGTAACTGCTAGTGAATTGGGGAAAAAAACGAAACATTTAGAACAAGCCTGTCCAGCCCATGCCTGTGGGCCACGTGTGGCCCAGGACAGCTTTGAATGCAGCCCAACACAAATTCTTAAACTTTCTTAGAACATCACATGAGATTTTTTTTTTTTTTTTTTTTTAACTCATCAGTTAGTGTTAGTGTATTCTGTATGTGGCCCAAGACCATTCTTTTTCTTCCAGATGTGGCCCAGGGAAGCCAAAAGATTGGACACCCTGGCTTAGAAACTTTAGCTCTGTTCCAGCGTTACAGGACCAGTTAGGAGGCATCAGGTTCTAACCACCCGGCCATAATGGAACAGATGTGAGGCCTGGTCACAGTACTAGCCTGAGCAGAGATCCGAAGGAGGAAGCCAGAAATCCACTGAGGATCTGGGAACCTAGGGAGTGTGGGCTGCAAAGGGTTTTCAGAGGTTAGTGACTTTCCTTTGGTTTCCTGCTGGGCTGTCAGCCCCGGCAGCTTGATGCATCTGTGTTGTCTTGCCCTTGTGCTGCCACTGGGTAGGCGTGCTCAGGAATTGAATGGGCTGTTTAGAAAGATACAACCAGCACTTTTGGGAAGAGTCTGCCACCCATTTTCTGTTTTTGGCCTGTGAGACCAGTGGGTCTCAATCTGACTATGTATTAGGATCATCTGGGGGGTTTAAAAACAAAAGCTCTCACCTGACAGGGAGCAGGTCAGTCAGAGGTGAGGGCCACACATTCGGTGCAGACCTTGACCCTTAGGTCCAAAGTGCGAGTGTTATTCACCAAAGGTTGTCTGCCTGGGCTCTTTCCTACTTTTGGGGGGTCTGTTCACAGTGACCCTTTCTCTGACCAGCTGATTGAAATCTGCCTTCTGATTGTACCTGGGAAATTGGAACAGAACTAGGAGTCGTGGTTGGCTTGTAGGGCTGCCTACATGGCACATGAGCAGTATAACTGGTTGCTAAGGGTCCCTGTCATGTGAGGTTTTGGGGGTCTGCTTCCCAGATGAACTCACTGTGCCTGGACCTATTCTGTGCAATGGATAATCAAGCTAATTATTTAGACATAAGTGACTGGGTGTGGTGGCTCATGCCTGTAATCCCAGCACATTGGGAGGCTGAGGTGGGCAGATCACTTAAGCCCCGGAGGAGTTTGAGACCAGCCTGGGCAACACAGAGACCTTGTCTTTACAAAAACAAACAAAAGGTATCAGGGCATGGTCACATGCCTGTAGTCGTAGCTACTCCAAAGGCTGATGCAGGAGGATTACCTGAGCCAAGGAGCTCGAGGTTATAGTGTGTTATGATCAATTACTGCACTCAAGCCTGGACAGCAGAGAAACACCCTATCTCTTTAAAAAAACAACAAAAAAGGCCAGGTACCATGGTTCACGCCTATAATCCCAGCACTTTGGGAGGCTGAGGTGGGTGGACCAGTTGAGGTCAGGAGTTCAAGACCAGCCTGCCAACATGGTGAAACCCCATCTCTACTGAAAACACAGAAAAAATTAGCCAGGTGTGGTGGCACATGCCTGTAATCTCAGCTACTTGGGAGGCTGAGGAAGGAGAGTATCATGAACCTGGGAGGCAGAGGTTGCAATGAGCCAGTGCACTCCAGCCTGGGTGATAGAACGAGTCTCCATCTCAAAAAAAAAAAACAAAACATAATTAAGGTACGGTAAGCTACAAGCCACATTTATTTGAAACATTGTCTATCGATGATCTGGGTATTTGATTTTGAATCCTCCAAGTAAATCTCTCAGTTCCTTAATGTGCATATATAAGTGATCGTGAGTCATCTTTGATTATTAAAACCCAAACCACAGTGATTGAAGCCTTGATGTGTTTGCTTTTTCTTGGTGAGATTTTCATGGATTGTTCTCAACTCCTTCCGCCTTCCTCCATATGTGCTATCAGTGAGATGGAGTAGTTCATTTCTTCCGTAACTACAATCGAAGAAATATTTCCTAATGACATTAGAAAGTACTGACTTTTGCGTCTTAAGTACTGGCACTTGCAGCATTTTCTGACTGCATTGTTGCACTTGTGTTGTCTCAATTTGTAGGTCCTGCTGCCGTGACCAGCCAGTCTCCTGTTCCATGTAAACTCTGTATCCTTTACTAAGACGTTGGCACCATGCACAAAAGGGAAAGTGGTTATCCTTACAGAGAGGCTCTGAAGCCCTTCCCTGGGCAGCTGTGAATAATGCTCTGAGAGCCACCTCACAGGCGGCCTCCCTGACTGTCCAGGGGCTCGGTGTCTAGGGTGGACTCAGCACATGGGCAGGGGCATGTGCCAATGGAAACTGGGTTTGTCTTTTGTTTTCATCTATACCTGGTTTAGAATTTCCTATAACGTGTGGATTCTTCATCCTGGATTGTCTTTCAACCTGACATCATCATCAGTGCAAGCCAAGGTAGGTCAGGGGGGACAGTTGTCGTGTTAGAACATGGTGCTTGTTGACTTTGGATCCCAGTTGTAGCCAGGGACATTTTCAAGGCGAATCTGAAAAATGACCTCTCCTTTCAACCTTGGGAATGGGTTTTTTAAAATCAAGAACATATATTACTTTTTATAATTAAAGCAACGACTAAGAATGCCATTCCCCTGCTTAAGCCCATTCTGGAAAGCCAGACTCCATCCTGGGGGAGAGGGAAGCCAGACTCCATCGCAGCGGGGGAGGGAAGCCAGACTCCATCCCAGTGGGGGAGGGAAGCCAGACTCCATCCCAGGGCAGGTGGGACGCCGGACTTCATCCCAGGGTGTCTGTCTCTGTGTGTCTCACGTCAGCCTTCCCTCTGGTGCTCGTGCCCTTTTCTGTTCTGCGTGAGCCCAGGGGATGTGCTACTCTTTCTGGCCTTGCTGGCAAAGCCTCCTCAGCCTGTTTTCTCTTCCTGGGTAATCTCTTCATTAGAGAACTGTTATTTTTTTGATTCAGGATCTCACTCTGTCACCCAGGCTGGAATGTAGTGGTGTGATCTCAGCTTACTGCACCCTTGAGCTCCTGGGCTCAGGCAATTCTCCTACCTCAGCCTCCTGAGTAGCTGGGCCTACAGGCACCACCACGCCCAGCTAATTTATTGTTATTCTTTTTGTAGAGACAGGGTCTTGCCATGTTGCCCTAACCTGTGTCTCTAATACCTCACCAAACTGGTATTAGAGAATTTCCTATGTTACTCTTTAATCATCTGTGTATTTTCCTGCCTTTCCTCTGGGATTCTTGAGAATTTTTGAGCCGAAAATTAGCCCTGATGCTGTGGGCATCCTCTGTATGTAGTGAATTCATTTCTCCCCTGTGCATCTCGCTGGTGGTTTCCTGTACAACTGCTCTGTACCTGCCTTGGGAGAACTGAAAAAGGGATGACTCAGATGATTTTTATGTGGCACTTCAGTCTCCTGCAGAACCGCAGTCAAGAAAGGCCACAGCAGAAGATGGCAGTGTGGGTGATCAGTACGTTTATGGGTCGATGAATGGATGAGTTATGATGTTCCAGTGACAGCCTCTAGAGTTACCTTTTGAACTCATGAGCCATTGTCGGAGAAACCAAAGTACAGGACTGAAGTTGATGCCGCGTGTGGACATCTTTTTCTATTTTATTTATTTATTTATTTATTTATTTTTTAATTTTTTTTGGGACAGAGTTTCGCTCTTGTTACCCAGGCTGAAGTGCAGTGGCGCGATCTTGGCTCACCGCAATCTCCGCCTCCTGGGTTCAGGCAATTCTCCTGCCTCAGCCTCCTGAGTAGCTGGGATTACAGGCACGCGCCACCATGCCCGGCTAGTGTTTTGTATTTTTAGTAGAGACGGGGTTTCACCGTGTTGACCAGGATGGTCTCGATCTCTTGACCTCGTGATCCACCCGCCTCTGCCTCCCAAAGTGCTGGGATTACAGGCTTGAGCCACCACGCCCGGCCATCTTTTTCTATTTTAAATGTTAAAAGAGGGACTAGGTCTAGGAAGGTCCCTGTTTGGCAGGAAGGACTAGGGAGCTACACCATTGATGTGCCCCTGAATGCAGAGGCCACTTGAAGAGTCAGCCAGGTGTGTGGTAGTTTGGCCGTCGGTCTTTCTGTTTTAGACATGCTCCTGAGTAGCTTGGCTCTGCTCTGGTTAGGAAGAAAAAGCTACGTTAACTGTACTTTGCAGCTTTTCATCACCCCCCTCCCCCCTGCCTGCCCCACAGATGTTTAGGGGAACCGCTTATGTTATGGTTTGCATCATACTGTTATGTTTGCTGCCTCTTAAAATCCAGGTTACCTGTGGAACCTCCAAGTGAAACTTGAGCCCATAGTAAATCTCTTGCCAGACAAAGGAAGATTGATGGACTTTCTTCTCCAGAGAAAGGAATGCAAGATGGTCATCCTGTCTGTCTGTTCACAGAGTAAGTTGAATCTTTCCCCCTTGGTCTGGTTCCAGTGAGGTCTGTGCTGCCAACACTTTTTATTGGGATGTAGGCTACATCGTTATGCCTTGTCTGTAACTCAGAGCCTAATTCTTTATGTGAGGGGTGGTTATGGGACCCCCTGGGAAAGGCTGTTAAATGGGAAGATGACTTGTGGAGATACTGGTAGAAAATAACAATAAATAGGATGGTTCTGAATCAAAGCAGACCTAAAGGTGGGCACACAGGAGGGGAGTGGGCTACCACCCCTGGCTTTCACACACACCTTTTTCAGAATCCAAGCCACTGACTGCATATGTGTCTTCTTTAAGAATCCCCTACAGAGGCCAGGCATGGTGATTCCTGCTTATAATTCCAGCACTCTGGGAGGCTGAGACATGAGGATTGCCTGAGCCTAGGAGTTTGAGACCAGCCTGGACGACATGGCGAGACACTGTCTCTACAAAAAAAAAAAATTAGCTGAGTTTGGTGGTGCATACCTGTGGCCCCAGCTGCAGAGGGAGGACTGCTTGAGTCCAGGAGGATGAAGCTGCAGTGAGCTGTTTATGCCAGTGTACCCCCAGCCTGGGCGATAGAGCAAGGCCCTGTCTCAAAAAAAAATCCCCTTCCAATATGTGCTGTTGGTGTTTTGTTGTTTTTGTTTTTGTTTTGGTAGAGATGGGGTCTTCCCTTGTTGCCCAGGCTGGTCTCAAACTCCCAGCATTAAGTGATCCTTCTGCCTCAGCTTCCCCACAGTGCTGGGAGGGATTAGGGGCATGAGCCACTGAGCCTGGCCTGCTATAGCTTTTTTTTTTTTTTTTTTAACTGTAACCAGAAAGGGGTTATGAATGACATCTAGGTGTCAGGACTTTATTACATTTGTTGGAGTGTCCTTTAAAGGCACTTTTGCATTGGTAACCTTTTGAGATTAGTTTTTATCACAGCAACGTGTGGAAATTCTGAAGCTGACCTGAAGTCGGTTTGATCTGTGTGAACATTGTGCCTTTCCAGTGTTAAGTGAGTCAGACAGAGCATCGCTGCCTGTGATAGCCACTGTTTTTGATAAACTCAACCATGAGTATAAGAAGTATTTGGACGCAGAGCAGAGTTATGCAATGGTGAGTACATGGAGTATAACGAAGGGTTCTCCTCCTCCATCCCCTCCCAGTATTTTCTAAGTAATTATGACGCAAAATTATTTCCTATGATTAGAATGATGTTACTGAGATTTGCTGCCTGCCATAGGGCAAGTTGGCAGTAGTGGGGGAGTAGTCAATTCAGGGCCCTGCATCCCATGAGCTGGAGGCTGCATCTCACTTCATGCCTTCACCGTTTTCATTTTTCCCATCTGTGTTTGATCTTGCCTGTAGATCGTTGGTCTACCTGTTTTATGGATGAGAAAAATCAGTCTCCGCTTTGCAATATTTTGTGTATTTTTCTGTTAAGCCAGAGCTAGGACCTAGTAAATTAAATTAAAAATATAATTTCTATTTGTCACACCTTTCTTTCCTTTTAGGATCTAAGTAAGAGTGATCCTAGCAGTCAGCCAGCATCCTGTTGAGATAGCGATGATTCAGTTTTAGCACTTGGCAGGGATATTTGTAGTGAAAGTAATAACCATGGCTTATTGCTACCAAGTTCCGCTGTATTACTTGTACATCATATCTTCTGAAGCGAGAAGGAAGAAAAGTTTAGGACAAGGAGAATGAATGATTTCACTTCAAGAATCTGATTAGTCCCAGGCAGAAAATGGTTTTAAACAACAAAAGCCCCAGAACTCCACTCCCCTTTAGCTGTTCACGGAAGGGTAAGAGGTCTGGGACAGGCTACTGAAGAGAGCCAGTTGCCTGGATAGTGTCCATTCCCACCCTGACAGACATGAGGGATGGCTGAGTCCTTTTGGACCCTACTGCTGTGAGTGTCCTGGGCTGTGGGAATCAGTAGGTTTGATCCCAAGTGGCAGTTTCTTTGCTGTCCCACACTGTGTCTGCTGGGCTCCAGAAACTGTCACGACTTAGCAGTGTGGGCCAGTAACCAGCCACATGAGCAGCACCTGGAGTTTCTTGGAAATGTAGGTTCCCAGGCCGCACGCTACAGCTATTGCACAATCTGCATGGATCTGAACTGTTTGAAAACGTGAGGTAAGGTCGTTAAGGTCTCACTCAGCTTTCCTATTCAGAAGGACTTGGGGTGCTCTGGCTTCCCACTTAAAAATCCCTGGAGACTCCATGCAGGAGCTACTCACTTATTGCAGGATCAGGACATAAAGCAGGGATGCAGCAGCCATTTCATTTTTGCCAGATAACAAATGCCTATAGTCCAGGATTAAGACACTTAGGAAGTTAAAAAATTGCAAGAGGTTAAAGTAAGATATATCTTATGAAAACTCTTTTCAGTTTCATCTACCATGAAGATTGGAGTATTTTCAAGATGACCAATGCTGACTTCCTAGATTCTCCCCAGCCAGCACAGGAAAACCGGTTTTATCTAAGTCGAGAAAGAAGTCTTCTGCTCATATCCTAGGTCCACAAGAATTCAGTCCTTTTGGTTGAACTGTAAACAGCACCCTTCCTCTAAGATGCTGAAGATCACAGTTTGTGATTTCTTCTTTCAGGCGGTGGAAGCAGGGCAGAGCCGAAGCAGCCCACTCCTCAAGAGGCCGGTGCGGACCCAGGCGGTGCTGGACCAGTCTGACGTGTACACCCATGTGCTGTCAGCCTTCGTGGAAAAGAAGGTGGGCTGCAGCTTTCCGCCTGTTCTGGACTGAGAATGCTCAAAACAAGGAAGTTGAGGAATGAGGAGACTTCATGTGATTTAGAATCACTGGTTTCCTTGGGTGAGGACCTAGAGCTGGTAGCTTGGCTTCTAATACTCAGGCCTAAAGCATAATCGTTGATGGGGGTGGTTCTGGGGCGATTTGTGCAACACCAGTGAAAGATTAGCACGGGGCCATTTTAATGTGGAAACAAGGCGGGGGTTGGATAGAGTTACATGCAGCCCCTTTTGCACCTCTTGGTATTTATAAAACCACATTTTTTCTCCCTAGGAGATGCCTCACAAATTTGTGATAGCTGTGCTGATGGAATACATTCGTTCTCTTAACCAGTTTCAGATTGCAGTACAGGTACCTTCAAATCAGCTGGTCCCAAGTTAAAGCAGCAGGAATTTAGAAAAAAAAAAAAAAAAAAAAGCATTGTCACTATCTTAACTTAGAAGATTATTCTTATATGCTAAGACAGGCCAGCCTCCCTGACTCGGAATGTTGAGTGACTCTCCTGACATTAGTTGGAATGGGAAGTGTAATGTCCAGTCGGGGTCTTTATCTGCTTGATGAAACCACTTCTGGTAGTAACAGACTTTTACTGCGTGGGTTAGAATAGCCACAGTCCTCGGGGAGCCCCCAGTCTGTTGCAGCTGAATGATTTGGAAGTGTTCTTTCACTTTGTACTTTTTTCCTCAGCATTACCTACATGAACTTGTTATCAAAACACTTGTCCAGCACAACCTGTTTTATATGCTGCATCAGTTCCTGCAGTACCACGTCCTCAGTGACTCCAAACCTTTGGTATGCATTGCCAGATTTTTACTTCCGTTGTAGTTAAAAAAAAAAAACAGAAAATTTTAACCTTTAACCTTCCAACTGAAGCGGGTCTGAAAATGTCTTTCAGGCTTGTCTGCTGTTATCCCTAGAGAGTTTCTATCCCCCTGCTCATCAGCTCTCCCTGGACATGCTGAAGGTAACTGATATGTCAGGTTTAGACTATGGAAAGTTGCTCTGTTTCTGTTTGCACTGACCTGGACTTCTCTCCCTTATTCCTAGCGACTTTCAACAGCAAATGATGAAATAGTAGAAGTTCTTCTTTCTAAACACCAAGTGTTAGCTGCCTTAAGGTTTATCCGGGGCATCGGTGGCCATGACAACATTTCTGCACGAAAATTTTTAGATGCTGCAAAGCAGACTGAAGACAACATGCTCTTCTATACAATATTCCGCTTTTTTGAACAGCGAAACCAGCGTTTGCGAGGGAGTCCCAATTTCACACCAGGTGAGAATACAGTAGCAGTGGAAAGACTTCGGGTAACCAACTGTAGCCTCAAAGAGTAGCAGAGGGCACTGGGGTGGGTGAGGACTCCTGGTTAGCTTTTTTATAAAGAGTACAATTTCGTACTAGCCCTCAGCCATTATTTGTAGTAGTGTGAGTTCAGTGTGCTGACGGAATCTGAATTATGCTCTGGAACTCACCGAGGAGGCATGTTTTGAGTCAAGACACATTTAGGACCCAGATCAGGCACAACCCATCTCTTATAGCAGATCTTGGGAATATCTCTTGAAGCCAGGAATAAGATGGCAAATGGTGGCTAAGGATTTTAAAGGCCCTGGGGCTTATTAAGCCTTCAGTTTTATGAAGGACACATTGGCTGATCATTCTTATCTCCAAATAGTTATAAACTCTAAGACATCATCTTCTTCAGGATAGAGAAGGATCAGGGCTCTCTAATGAGACTATTTTAGGTCTCACCAACTTTTCCTAGCTTAAGGTAAGATGGCATTTAGTTACCGTAAGGACAGGTTAGAATCTCTTCCTTCAGCTTTTCTATCTATATCTCCCTCTCAAAGCAGATAGAAAGGGCAACCCAAAATCTTAGGAAACCAATGTATTTTATTAAAGAAAAATAAGTTAAAACCCAGTAGACACACCTACTTTATTTTTCCCTTGTTTCGTGCCACATCTAACTGGCGATTAAATCTCTTCCTTTCTAGGGGAACACTGTGAAGAACATGTTGCTTTTTTCAAACAGATTTTTGGAGACCAAGCTCTAATGAGGCCTACAACATTCTGAACTCACTTGCTGGTTTTTTTTTTTAATATATAAAAATGTGTACAAAGTTAATTTATTGCATTAATAAAGCTCTTTAAACTATAAAATGTTATAATAAAGTGTATCTACAACCTCAAATTTCACTAAAAATGTGGTATAGAACTTGTGGGATGGCTTGCTCCTAAAAGGAGAGACAGTGCATTGATTGGCCTTTACAAAGTGTCAGTGAGCAGATCACATTCACAGTCATCTAGTGTCACCTCCTGCTTGCTAAAGAACGAGGTTTCTTTCCTGAAGAAGCGGGGAGAAGTTTAGTGTCCTGTGGTTGCCTCCAGATTTAGTAATACTGCTTCCCAAGTCAACTGTGCATTCCTGAGTTCACAGGCGCTGTGTTCAAAGCTGCTGCCAAATAGCCTGGTGGTTGGCACCATCCGGTGTTCAACTTGGCCTTACCGATGCAGCGCCCATCCAGTGGTAAACCAACCGACCCTTAGACACAGTTCAGTCAGCGTGCCCTGTGAGAGGGCTAGAAGTTTAGAAGCCGTTCGCGCTCTGTTCCTTTGTATCGCTCTTCAGTGGCACGACTTTTGGCTTTATTTACTGATGGCCCTATGAGAGGAAAAAAATTGTTTTTATTTCTGCAGGAGAAAGGGAGCTAGTTGGCTGGGCACTCATGTCTGTAATCCTAACACTTTGGGAGACTGAGGCAGGAGAATTGCTTGAGACCAGCCTGGTCAATAGGGTGAGACTGACCTCTCTCTCTCTTTTAGAGATGGGCTCTTTGCTTTCTTGCTCAGCGTGGAGTGCAGTGGTGTAAACACGACTCACTGCATCCTGAGCCCATTCTTCTGGGCTCAAGCAAGCTTCCTGCATCAGCCTACCAAGTAGGTGGGACTGCAGAGGCACACCATTCACCTGGCTAATTTTATTCTGTAGAGATGGAGGCCTTGCTATGTTGCCTAGGCTGGTCTCAAACGATTCTCCTGCCTCAGCCTCCCGAAGTGCAGTCTTTTTTTTTTTTTTTTTTAAGAAAAGGAGCTCGTATATTAGATTGTAATAGAACTAGTTTCTATCACCTGGAGATGATAAAAAGCCCCTCATCTTCTTAATCTACTGCAATGCTTCCATTTAGTTACAGAGCTATAAATCAAGCAAATCAGTACTGTTCTTTCAACCATGGGTCATTTTTGTGCAAGGTGAAGTGGCCATGGAAATAAAAGGATCAAGGATAGTCTCAGATGAATAGCAGAGGCAGCACTTTGCTAAGAACAGGACATCAATGAGGGACAGCACTGCTGGTGTCAGAGCCGAGTGGGATGGACTTCTTCATCTCAGCAGGGAGGCGCTGCCCCCTGCTGACACTCAGATCCATTCAAGCGCTGACTGCAGGCCTCTGTGAAGCAGACACATCAGGCCTCCAGGAAAAACATCAGCAACTTACTAATGAAGTAGTCTGCGCCATCATGAAGCCCCTGGATGGGCTTTTTCTTAGAAGAAATTTTTTTACCCTGTATCATTTATCAAATGACCATTAATATGAGTTCAAATACTTGAAAAGAATGCCTCAGGATAGAATTCCCTTTCAGTAACGTGCTACTCTTGTGCCCCTCTTTTAAGACAAGAACTCTTACCTATGTAACTGAGTAAGACAGGGAGAAATATTAATCCATGTGTGGCTCCCAGTAAGACCATAGCCAAGTACATCCTGAAGTAGAATATCTGGAAAATTTGAGATTTGGCAAAAGCCAACACCACAATCCCTCCAAATTTTGTAAGTGTGATTCCACTGAATACCTAAAAGAAGAGATACCGTGTTAGAAACCACTTTTACCAACCTGTAATGGAACACTTCCTTAAAAGGATTTCTCCTGGGTCCAAGTGATTCTCCTGCCCAGCCTCCCACGTAGCTGGGATTATAGGTGCGTGCCACCACACCCGGCTAATTTTTGTGTTTTTAGTAGAGTGGGGTTTCACCATGTTGGCTCAGCTGGTCTCGAACTCCTGACCTCAAGTGATTTGCCCGCCTTGGCCTCCCAAAGTGCTAGGATTACAGGCATGAGCCACTGTGCCCAGCCCTTATGAGGATTTCTTAATATTCAAGGTTCAAAGCAATGGGAACGAACCCAGGTAGCATCATCTACTACCTAATATTGTTTTATTTGCTGCCTTGTATTCTGCATAGACACTGCATCGTGTCTCTAAATCGAATATATTCTCAGGTGAAAAATGTTTAAAAGTGTTCAAAACAAAGTTTTAGTTTTTACTCTTTACCAGGTATTTTCTACAGTGGTAAAGAGACAGGCTAAGCCAGGGTGTAGAGTTGAACCAAGATGGCTCTCTAGGCACCAGCCACACATCACACACTGGGTTCTGGGCCGGGGCTCCCCTGCTTGTATTTTGAACGGAAAAGACTACCAGCTGTCTCACGTTTAACTTTTGTTATTTTCCTGCTTCAGCAAGCTGCCACTTAAAAAGGAGCGGCACCAACAGGTACAGTTCCACAGAACATCCATTCTGTCCACGATGTGGCAGCTGATTCATGAACTGCCTGAAAGCTTGCAATCCTTAGGAGCTGCTTTCTAAGTACAGGATCCAGATTCTGCAGTCACTGAGCGGGACACTTGATGGTGCGACTCTGCCCACATGGGCTAGATCAGGGTACTCACAGAGCTGCCCATGTGGGCGAGTGCCTCTTCTGCGCGGTCCACACGGCTGCCCTTCGTGCTCACCGTGAACGCTCTGGTTATGTGGCTGCAAAACTCCACGGAGATGCCACAGCTCTGAAATAAAGCACCTCCTTTAGGATGGCTCTCTTCCTGTTGAAGACCCTAAGGAGCCACCCCGCTCCCAGGATAGGGGCTAATTACCTGGGTGCTAGAGGAGGCCAAGCATCCCCTTGGACTTATAATACAAGGCCTCCATCACACCAATCTATACTGTACCAGGAACTTTGGGGCCCTCTCTACACAAAGCCAAAGGCCTGGTTTTCTGTGGCACATTTGCTTTGATCAGGAGAAACTGCTGGAACCTCTTAAGGTCTCCTCACCCACACCAAGCCAGCAAACTGTCACGACTTCTTTTCTTGGACCTCACTGCTCCCCTATCTGAAGCAGGTTCATATCTGAGAGAACAGATGCACTGTTCTATTTTCCATGAATACCTTCTTGAACGCTCTCATCTTTAATGATTAAAAGCACCTGGCAACCTCACGTGAGGCAAAAGGCACTGGGTCAGAGATGCCCTGGGGTGGGGTGCAATTTTCTAAGTAAAAAGTGAACATCCTGCTGTCTTTAGACTATGTGCTTGTGCAATCTCTTCAGAATAACAAATTACAGGCAGAATACCCCAGAGCTAGGCCAGGAAATTACATTTCCATGGTTAGAGGCAGGTATTCCATGGTATTCCATCAGGTATACTAGTACAGCTGCAAAGAATGGGACAAGAGAAAAAAACTGAACTAAAGAGAAATTCCCTGTAATGTGCCGCTGCTCCCAGATGTCCCAGTCCATGCTCGCTCCGTCTATGCCCTGTCCGACCTCCATCCAGCACTCATCCTGCCTCTCCGTGTGTGCCAAGAGCAGCGCCAGACTGGTATTTTACTCCATTTTAGGGTTTACATGGAATCTAAGACAGCAATTCCCCTAGTGAAATAGGAGCTACGGACAAACTGAGAATGGACGAGGACTCACCATCACCAGGTTGACCAAGGACACAGCGTTCAGACTGATGCCCCAGAGCCACATAACTCCAAACATGTTGACCAAGACCATGGCGATGGTGGTGCACATGATGACAGCGGACCACAGCTCACAGCCCAGGAGGACCATGGTTACCAGAAATATGGCGCCCAGGGACACGCCGAGGTTGAAGACAGTGTCGTCAATGATGGTCAGGTACTGTTCGTAGAAGACATAAAACACACTGGAGAGGAGAGGGGAGGCCCCGTTAAAGCTCGCTCTCACTCCCAGAAACTGCGTGTTCATCCCGTCACCACTGCCAAGCAGTCAGACTCCTTTGGGTAACAACCCTTGCAGAAAGTCTTACTGGCTGTCTGCAAGACTCATCTAAAGCAACTCACTTGACTTCTGATGGCCACTGACCACCCAGAGAAGCGCCCAGTAGTGATGCAAAATTTGTATTTTTGATAAAGTTTTTGTTATAAGCCCAATCTATGCTATTTTTTTTTTATTGTACTTTAGGTTCTGGGGTACATGTGCAGATCATGCAGGAATGTTGCATAGGTACACACATGGCAATGTGGTTTGCTGCCTCCATCCCCCCATCACCTACATCTGGCATTTCTCCCCAGGTTATCCCTCCCCGACCTCCCCACCCCCCTGCTGTCCCTCCCTTGGCGCCCCCACCAATAGACGCCAGTGTGTGATGCTCCCCTCCCTGTGTCCATGTGTTCTCATTGTTCATCACCCGCCTATGAGTGAGAACATGTGGTGTTTGATTTTCTGTTCTTGTGTCAGCTTGCTGAGAATTACGGTTTCCAGATTCATCCATGTCCCTACAAAGGACACAAACTTCATTTTTTATGGCTGCATAGTATTCCATGGTGTATATGTGCCACATTTTCTCTGTCCAGTCTATCGTCGATGGGCATTTGGGTTGGTTCCAGGTCTCTGCTATTGTAAACAGTGCCGCTATGAACATACGTGTGCATGTGTCTTTAAAATAGAATGATTTATAATCCTTTGGGGTATATACCCAGTAATGCGATTGCTGGGTCAAATGGAATTTCTATTTCTAGGTCCTTAAGGAAGCGCCACACTGTTTTCCACAATGGTTGAACTAGTTTGCACTCCCACCAACAGTGTAAAAGTGTTCCTATTTCTCCACATCCTCGCCAGCATTTGTCTCCAGATTTTTTAATGATGGCCATTCTAACGCGTGAGATGGTATCTCAATGTAGTTTTGATTTGCGTTTCTCTAATCAGTGATGATGAGCATTTTTTCATATGTTTGTTGGCCTCATGTATGTCTTCTTTTGTAAAGTATCTGCTCATATCCTTCGCCCACCTTTGGATGGATTTTTTTTTTTTTTTTTCTTGTAAATCTGTTTTAGTTCTTTGTAGATTGTGGACATTAGCCCTTTGTCAGA